TGTCCAATCTAAATCTCCACCACAACAGGATGTATACCTGAGTGATGGTAAGGGAGGTGGGGTTAACATTCTGATTTATCAATAGATTACTACACATTTCCACATTCAAAATATGAAAAGTTTTCCAGTTCAATAGACTGTATCTATAGCAGGAGGCTTAAACCAGAATTTCAGAATACAAAGCAACTTTTATGTCATTTTTGTAATGGTTTAAAATCAATTTTTATACAGACATGGTAGGGTGTCTCCTGGCTAGAAGCCTGCATATACATATACAAATTTTCAGGTTTGTCAATAATAATAGTTTATTTTATAATTTCAATTCTTACAAGATTTGCAATAAGTCAACAGAATAAGTATTCTATTCTGAACTGTTGACAGGAAACAGTGTAAATACATGATCTCATCCAATATGACACAAGAATTCAAGACCCCTACCTCGGGCAAAGCAGGGGCATTCACTTAATTTGGTGTGTGAAATTCAGTGAAGTCCCCTGCAGCCAGAACAAAATGTCAAGGTAAATTTCTTCGGTCCTATCATCCCCAGGTATTCAATTGGAATTTTTACTTGAAATTTCCCAAACCATTCCTTTACTGTTCTGTAAAAGCCTTTCCTAGCCGACTGCTTTATTTCAGCATTTATATAAAAGACTACGCCTTTCCTAGCCAAATGCTTTATTTCAGCATTTATATAGCCAACTGCTTTATTTCAACATTTATATAAAAGACTAAGTGACCCCCCCCCCATGACCTCACTCATTCCCAACTTGGACACTGAAAGTAAGTGTCTTCCCTGTTTGCCAAGAAATGATAAACCAGTGAATTAAGAGGCGATTGTCCTTGCATTCCCCTCTGGTATGCCAAAGGTGCAAGGATTCAAATGACTGGTGAAATTGAATATGCTTATAAGCTTATTCACTGTATTTAATTAAAAGCTATTAAAATTACTCACTAATACTACAACTGAGGAAAATTCAGAAATAGTAAAATACATCCATAATATTCCATATGCTATATTTATAAATTCCAATTGGCCATTTTAACATAGGGCCATTTTAATATAGGCGGGTATTAAATAGGCGGGCCAAGTGACCAATACCGAAAGCATAATAATTACTGTCGTTCCAATTGAAGTGTTGCTGAAATATTGATTCAATACATTACCTCGGGCTGACCAATTCATTTGATCAAGTTCCTCGAGATATTCATACACTTCCTGTGAAAGAGCCAATTCCAAGTATTTGATCATTTCTGGTCACTTCCTTTCTATTTATGATTGGTTAGTTGCACAAACATCAAAGGTGATTGGTGCATTCAAACTATTCAACAGGAAGTTTACAATTATACTAGGAAGTGTATGAATATCTCGAGGAACTTGATGAAATGAATTGGTCAGCCCGAGGTAATGTATTGAATCAATATTTCAGCAACACTTCAATTGGAACGACAGTAATAAAACAAAATATATTACACCATTAAAACTTTACTATCATAACTATATATTTTTTAAACATTTTATATTTACAGTGTGCTTAAAATTTTACAATTATACTTGAGCACAATGTTTTAATAATAGACAACTTTATAACAAGAAAATGTTAAAATGAAGAAACTTTTTAATGGCTTCATAATTGACGTTTGTTCGATATTGTTGCTTACTTCTACTTTATAATTGTCCATTCTGTTATTTTCTTTCTTTCTGTTTGCAAATTATCTCCATTAATCCATAGAAAACAAGCAGTTTACGTTTGTATTTCTTCGTATTTCGAACGCGCACTCCTTGAAGGCAGCCATATTGCAAATATAAACATCCACTTGACGAATAAACTTTTCATATTTCACTCTATTTCCAACGACCAATCAAATCACTTCTGCCTCGGCTGGTCCCAGGGCTTACGGCAACGCAGGCAGCCGAGAAGCCCTGGGAACGAGGATGAGTCTGGGACTGCACGCAGGCTATAGGGTGATCGGATGAATCATTATCTTTACTAATATGCACATGCATTTAATTGTTTGTGATATGTTTATTCAATATGTTTATTCAAATTCCCATCAAATATTGTAAAGTCTTCAACTGTGACCACCTTGAACTATTTTTGTTCTTCTGTACCTCGTTCCCAGGCATAATACTGCTGCGTGGCCGCGCGCGTGGGCCGCGTGTTCGTGATGCTGTACAAGTACATTCTGCAAACAAGTTTTAACAAGGTTGTTGTGAAGCCGATATTAGGATATACGTGTTTGTACTGCTTGTTCCCAGTTGTTGTGGCAAGTCTGGAACAAGCTGTTATCACCTTACAAGTTGTTGCAACAAGCCAGTGCTACAGGCTGTTCGTAACAAGTTCCTACGTGTGTGTTGTCATCAACTTGATAACAACATGTTACGTGCAGACGATATCAGATTGTACGCATCAGTCTCCTTACAATCCGCTTCCATTTGTTGCAAGCACTGATCTTAGTTGCAAGGCCAAGACATACACGCCAAGCTTCCGAAAAACAAGAGTTGTTATTCGGCTTGTTACATAAATTAGACGTCGGTTGACGAATTTCTGGACGCCAATTAAAGTGTTGCCATGCAACTTGCAATAAGTCGATTGAATTACATCAATCTTTCGATAAGGACTGCTGTATGCCTGTAGCAACATTATAACAAGTTGGCAACACATTGCAAACACAATCCGATACAGGCTTGTTATGGAGCTTGTTGAAACAACGTTGTGACATGACTTTGCAGGCCTTCGACAACTTGTTCAATTTTCTACACCTCATTATGTAAATATTTTAAAAATGCCGTCAGCTAATACTGATTATTTGAACGCCTGCTGGGCGATATTGTTATATTCCAAGTAAAGGCTCATAAATTATACGACAGTTTCGCTTATCATGTAATTGTTGCTGCAAAACATTACACCCGTAGTTTGAAATTCTGTTTCGTTGGCTGGAAACTAAAAGCACAGCTTGGATCTTACGGTAGAATGACGAGTGGACAACGGGTTACGATGTTAATATACCCAGCAGATAAAGAATTCATACGAAATTCAACTTTAAACTATCCGAACATCGAGACTGGTGGAGATCTGTTTGGATTATGGCAAAGCGAAAGCGAGGTTGTTGTTCAACTTGCTACCGGGCCGGGGCAAAACTGCCACCGTACACAAACCGCGTTCTTTCAAGATAAAACATATCTCAGTCAGGTTGGAGGCTATTTAACAACCGCCAAAGGTCTTTGCAATATCGGCGAATGGCATTCGCACCATCGTCTCAATTTACCGGAACCCAGCGCCGGGGATAGGGCTACAGTATGGAGAAATATGCCCGGGTGTGGATTGAAGAGATTTCTACTTGTTATTGCGACGATTACACCGACGAGACAGGTCAATATAAACGGGTTTATGTTTACAGCGCCTGAAAATGGACGTTCACACGGGGGAATGGAGCACGTTCAAACTCGGGTTCTCAACGGACCGAATCCGTTCCGAAAGCATGACGAAGTTTTGTCGGTGTTGCGCGAGGGTAAGGAGGTAGCCCCATCAGGCCAAGACGCATTGGATGACGAAAATGACGAAACGCCGAGTATTGGATCACAAAAGCCGAGACGTGGCAACTCTGTCCTGAATGTATTGAAGGGAAAAAATTCAGGAAAGTACAAGATAAAAAAACCGAAGAAGCAAAAGAAGCAGAAGAATGCAAAGAAAAACGATAGTCAGCTAAATGAGAAACCGATAAAGAGAAAAAAGAAATTTCCCTTCAGTTTTGGGAAAAAGAAGGATTACAAAGAGTTACCAGATAACGGTGCAACCTCGGGAGATTTTTCTCAGTCGGACTTTCAGAGTGATCCGCCTGCACCTGAAGTCAGTACTCAGAGTAGCAACAATATTGATGCCCATTACAATGGTCAGACAACACAACAACCCACGCCAAGCCATCCGCAAACAAATCGCACGAACGCTCAGAGACATGCATCGTACGTATAAAGTTGTCTATCAGATGACCTCGAACATTTAAGGTGGCGATCGTCTGCATTGTTATTTTTACCATTATTATCGCATAAATTATTTGTGCACATCAACACATGTGTCATTGTGTCTGTTATACCCACTGATCTAGATCAGTGCTTACACCTGGTAACTCGCGGATCGAAATCACACCAGTTTATAGGTTCTAGCACTGTGTATTTAAACATAATTTTCATCACTTGCGTTTTTTAGTCGACACGTAGTTATATCTTATATAATTGACCCTAGAAGTGGTTACGTCACAAGATTTTCAATCCATCTAAACATTAGGTATACGCGATGCAATGTGGGATACAAGTGGGTCAAATATATAGATATAGGAGATCACAAATATCCATTGTTTGACAGTGACTTAACGACGTAAGGACTTCTAAGGTCAAGTAAAAACAAGGTTTGTCTGTGTCATAGATACAGCCTGTCAGTGGTTTGAACTTCGAAGAACACTTTGAAGTTTGAATTGGTTTAATTAATATTTTGAATATAAAGAGTAAATAAGATGAAATCGTGAAGGAACTTAAACACTTTTGGCAAATCCTTGTTAATGTTGTAAATTTTCAATATATAATAAAATACTGTAGCTGTTGATATGTTATTTGTTTAGTGAATGTTGTCATGTAAAGGTTGACATACCAATTTTGAATTATTGCCAGTATAGTATGGTAAAGTGAAACTACTTGCCACCATTGTTTCCGCTTATCAATGCGTTTAACCCCACGCTGTGCAATTTCTTCGAAAACGATATGCAAATAAGTTTAAAGTTGCGTCATATGTAAACATTTGACATGTCGTGAACAGTATAAGCTCTTCTTTAATTTACCAAACACGGCAAAACAGTATGGACAACTTTACTGGCATACCACATATCTACAGCCCTTTGTTGTATGTCTTCGAAGGTGAGTTAATACGCATTGGCCGGTTTATCAAGGAAGTTTTGCAGAAGGTCAATGTTTTTACCGGCTATGGTGAGTTATATGGCTTATATACACACAGTCATGGCGCTGTTGTGCATGTTACGACATTGAAAAACCTCAACCAAAGGCAATTACAAGACGCCATGTGTAGTAGTATAAAAGCAACAGAAAACGAGTATAGTTTAAGCTTGATTGGCGAATGGCTTACTGTCCAAAATCTAAACATCTCAGTCCGAGAACTTTTGCGGAAGAAAGCTAACACATTAAACGGAAGTGAAACATATTTTTGCTTGGTTGTTGAAAAAGTGCAAATCAAATTCAATTCCGAAGACATTAGTAAATTTACCCAAGTATTTTATCTGACAAAAGGCAAAATTTACAAGATGGATATGAAGATTTTACGTCAACGTGAAAGCCCGTTTCGACTCGATGTCGATTTTACTGACAAGATTTCATTAGCCGGTTATATTGGTAACTTAGGTGAAATAAATAATGGTGTTGAAAATGAAGAGTTCTTTTTAAACGGACTTGAAAATATTGGCACTGAATTAAAAGAAATGTCGTCTGCAAAATCGAAAGTGGATACTGCGCCATTGAATTCTGAGAATCCACTTAACCGTAACGAGAACGGACTTCCGGTATTAGAAAATGAAAGCGGCAATGAAGACAGCGAAGATAAAACTGTTCTGAAAGCTGATCCAGTTTTGCCAACGAAAGCAACCTCGATTGAAGCAAACTGTATTGGAGTGAAGGGAAATACAAAGGAGTTAGGTGGTGAACTCGAAGCTCGAGACAGAGCCGGACAAAAGGAAGTACCTGTAGAACATTCGACGAGAGATGATAACACTTGGGTGGACATTAAGTCGAGTGATGTTCTGAACGCTGAACCACATTCGCCAACGAAAGAAGCTCCGATTCAAGCCGTATTTGTAGGAGAAGAAAAGAACAATATTGATCACAAAGAAGCTGTCAGTGTAGAAAATGACAAAAAGGAAGGTGGGAACATTAAGGTGGCGGATAGCCAAGTCGCGAATGAAGAAGATTTGTCACGTGAAGAAGATTCTCCAAACACAGTTTTACCAGACGTTTTGAGGAAGACTGTGGCGACTAAGGATGGAACTGATGGTCTCACGGAAGGACAAGAAGAAATGAATCATTCACCAGCAGAACATGCCAGTTTAACAGAAGTCGAGGGGAATACAACTAAGAACGATGGTGAACTTGGAAATACTGATCAAGAAGAAATGGCCGATTCTGAAGGTTCGATACCTGTAGAAAATTTAACAGCAAGCGATGATAAGATTGAAAATGGAAACAATATCATCCACAGTGGACCTCAAGAATCCGGAAAAAATGAAATGGGAGAGAGTGAAAGCACCATGGCGGGAGATGGTGAAGTAGTGAATGAAGAAGATTTGCCAAGTGAGGAGGATTTTGCAACCACAGTTTCGCCAGATGAAGAGAGAAAGATAACGGTGAATGACGGTGAGATTGATCGAGTTGCAGAAGAACAAGAAGGAATGAATTGTGCAGCTGAAGCGAACTCCACAGGAAAAGATAAAATTGAAAATGGGGACGATGTCGGTCGCGAAGCAGAGAAATTTCAAGACATTGAAAACGGTGGATGTTATGACAAGAAGTCGGGTGAGTTCGAGAGAGTGACAGCTGAAAATGAAACGAAAATTGAACACAATGGAAATTCTGTGACAGAAAATGAAAACAAAGATGGAGAAGATAGCAAGTCTCAAGAAACTGAAAATGGTAAAAGTGATGAATTTAGTGACATGGGAACACCTGAAAACAGTTTGTCAACAAAGGAACCTTCCAATGATCACGACAAACTCGATAATGAACAGCAGAATAATAGTTCTTTATCAAATGAGGAAGAAAATTTGTCACAAGAAGAAGCTTTAGATGACACTTCAGTTGATAACAAGACAAGCAAAACTGAACATGTTGTTGAGAAGAAACAGTTTGAACAGTATAATTTCACTTCTGAGGGTCACGACAGCTCGAGCGTTCCATTCGTGGAAAATCGGTTCGAACACAGTGAAAAGAATAATGGGACTAGTCATTTAATGGAAATTGAACTGGATTGAGTGTCGTCTGTTGAAGAGAGACTTTCTTATCAGGAACATGTTTAACAAAAACTGTTTGAGAGGCCTGATCTCATTAACTCTTCAATAATTCTCAACAAGTACAGTACAGTACAGTACAGTACAGTACTGTAATATAATTCATAATTTTAATAATAACACTATAACAAAGTCAATTCAAAAGTTGGAAATCATACAGTATTTTAGGTGTTGAATTTAAAGCTTTACCAGAACTACCAGCGACTAATTTTAGGGATACGTTGTTGGACGAATCACAGTAGTAATAATAATAACTTTATTCATATAGAGAGTGACAGGTAACAGTCCTAAGAGACTGATAAACTACTGACCCTCAATGAATCAGTGAGGCGATTAAAAATATGAAATATATCCAGAACGGTTTTAGTCATATCAAGAGTGAGAGATTTCCTTTTTCATTCTATGCACAAGTCTTGTATTTATTTTAGTACACTGTAGAAATTCAGTGTGTGACCACAATGATGTCATTAATTAAAGGTTGATATACCAATTTTGAATTATTGCTAGATGTATAGTATGGTAAAGCGAAACTGCAGCAGCATCATTGTTTTAGCCTCCGTAACGCAGACCGTCTTTCGCTCCCCCGAGACGAATCATAGGGAGCGAAACACGATCTGCGTTACGGAGGCTACCATTGTTTCTGCTTCTCAATGCTTTTAACCCCATGCTGTGCAGTTTCTTCGAAAACGACATGCAAATAAGTTTAAAATTTTGTCATATGTAAACATTTGATATGCCGTGAACAGCTCTTGTATTACCAAACACGGCAAAACAATATGGACAACTTTGCTGACATACCACATATCTACAGCCCTTTCCTGTATATCTTCGAAGGTGAATTAATACGCATTGGCCGGTTTATCAAGGAAGTCCTGCAGAATATCAATGTTTTTACCAGCTATGGTAAATTATATGGCTTGCATTCACACAGTCATGATGCTGTTGTGCATGCAAGATTCGGGCAACCGAGAACGAGTATAGTTTAAGCTTGATTGGCGAATGACTTACTATCCAAAATCTAAACATTTCAGTCCTAGAACTTTTGCAGAAGAAAGCTAACACTTTAAACGGAAGTGAAACATATTTTTGCTTGGTTGTTGAAAAAGTGCAAATCAAATTCAATTTCAAAGACATTGGGGAATTTACCCAAGGATTTTATCTTACAAAAGGCAAAATTTACAAGATGGATATCAAGATTTTACAACACCGTGAAAGCTCGTTTCGACTCGATGTCGATTTTATTGAGAAGATTCAGTCATTAACTCTTGAGTAATTCTCAACAACTACAACACTGTACTATAATTTATAATTTTATAATTTTATAATTTTAATAATAACATAACAAAGTCATACGTATGCTAATGATAATCAAATACTGCCAATTATAGCCTTTCTCGCGCCGCCATTTTTGGGGTACTTTTTTGCCAATCCTGCGAGTGTTACACCGCGTAACGGCGACATTTTATAATTTTGTGGGCGTATGATGGTAAATTTACTCTGTAAATAGTTGTTTGTTCTGAAATATTGCTTTTCACATTGTTATAATCGTTTACGAAAAATTACAGTACCCCAAAAATGGCGGCGTGGGAAAGGCTAATTGTAATAATCATGCAGATTGCACGAGTAATGTATATATTATGAATGAAAACTCCTTCAATTCAAAAGTTGGAAATCATACAGTATTTTGGGTGCTGAATTTAAAGCTTTACCGGAACTACCAGACTAATTTTAGGGATAAGTTGTTGGACGAATCACAGTAGTAATCAATAATAACTTTATTCATATAGAGGGTGACAGGTAACAGTCCTAAGAGACTGATAAACTACTGACTCTCAATGAATCAGTGAGGCCGGATTAAAAATATGAAATATAACCAGAATGATTTTAGTCCTGTCAGAGTGAGAGAATTCCTTTTTTATTCTATGCACTAGTCTTATATTTAGAAGTAAGAAAATAAAAAGATGCTTTATTCTTTAAGTAGCTTGTTTCGTTAAAAAAATCTTCTGGAAAGTACTTGCCTACAGAACTTTGTTTTTGTGATTGAGATATTGGGTTTAGAGTCCTTCATCGTGTTACAGGTGGTCATATTTATCTTGTTACTGGTGGGCACAATTACGAAATCATAATATAAAATACCTTTACATAATTAGGTCATCAGTAAAAAGATAAAGGTCTCTAAAGCCGGTATATCTCAATCCTGAAAGAAAGGCTATAGTGCTTTCCGGCTGCAGGGTCTATTGTCAACATTCCATAACACGCCACACCCAATTTAACAAGTGCTTGTTTGCCACACAATTATACGACTGAATTTTGTTCGGCCATCTTGTGTGAGTTTTTATTTATCATGATGCATATTTCACTGTATCAACTTCCTCATGATCCACGCTCCGTTCACGCAACTATGGTCTGATTTTAAATCGTCGTATGCGGCCTCCAAAACTCCGCGAATGTTGCGTGGACATGACGTTTTAACGTTCATAAACACGCATTCCTTAAAAGGGAAAAAATCTCTGAGATTGTAGTCTGTGTCCATGTCCAGATCAAGCACTTTCCGTTTCTCTCGCGAAACAACGTATGGAAAGATGTCTAAATGATTAAAGCCTTGAATCACTCGCCCCATTGGACTCACAAATGAACAACTATCGATTTGATCGCGTACGACCTGAAAATTAGAAAAAAATAAATTGACACCAACACTATAATGTTTGTGATGTTACTCTGAGTGCATGTATATCCACACCTAGACGGCCAGGCATATTCAAGCTTGCCCAGTGTGGATATACCGACTCAGAGTAACATCACAAACATCATATTCACCTGAGTACATAAGTATAACACCAACACAGACAAAACCCAACACTATAGCAACAAAAGTGATGCCCCCCTACCTGGCCTGTACAACTCAACCGTGTTCTATCGTCTTCTTCCCTTCGTTCAAAATCATTCTGTACAACAAAATGAAACTTATCATCGTAGGTTTGCTCAAAATTCCGCCTTCCACCAAACACTTCAAGGGCCTTAAACTTTTTGATGTCCACAAGTACATCAACATCCTCGTCCCAGGGTATAATATCTCCGTCTCTGTACTGACCCAGTAGGGATCCACAACCGATTACGTAAGGAATTTTATAAAATGTCGCCAGCGTATGCCATTGTGCCAACAATGCTGCGAACGATTCCCTGTCTTTGTTTGGTGGACAATTGTTGCCTGGCAATTGTAGAGCGATAAATTCGCTTTGCAATGGTTCTATTGTCCCGCTTTCGTTCAAAATTGAGCTGTTATTAATATAATCTTTCATTCCAAACCCGTATAACCGAAATATAAACAGCCATATAGAGGTCATTGCTATCAAACCGCTTACAAATCTTCGCAATAGCTTGGACATTTATATTTTTGTATTGTTAAACTGTCCTCAAATTTGTTTATGAATAAAAGCTACATGCATCGAATAAATTTTCTGCTTGACAGTACACGGACGTGTCTCAGCGTTCATTTACAATTACAGCTAGTTAAATTAGTTTCTATGCCGTCAAGAGCGGAACTCCGAAAACATTTATATGATATTACGTTTCTAGTCAAACAAACAGATAAGAAAAGAAAAGGGTCTTTTGTCGATTACCATTTTGCCGTTAATTATTCAATTTCGCGAGCATATTTTTGCAGCTGTTTGGTGAATTAAACTAACAAAAGCAAAGCATATAATGTACGTTTATTAGCCTGCTGATTCATATCGGTACTGTAGAGTTGATTGGGCAAGTGTCTACAATATCAAAGAAAATCCGTATAGAGCGCTGCACTGGATTACTGGAATCGCAGGGCCGCAGGATCGATTCCTGCCAGAAGGTCGATAGTTAATTGCGTTTTTTCGTCACTACTCCTGGATAGATCTAAAGGTCCACACACCGGTCACCGGACGCGATTCGACAACGCGACGCGATTTTTTCGTTTTTGAAAGTTAATAAAACAGCCAATGAGAGCAAATTTTAAAAGATATGTAGACCAAGTAACTCAAAATGTTATAACGCTTCTAAATATTTGGAAAATTTAAACTAGGATCAAAGTTATCGGTCAGTGAAAATCGAAAGATCGCGTCGCGTTGTCGAATCGCGTCCAGTGTGTCCAGCCTTAACAAGTGTTTAAAATTCACATATGGTCCGCACGGAAAAGTTTAATTCCATTTGAAAACGACATAAATTGGAATTCTTATATGAAATTTAGAAATATTCCACTTTTCCGACGTATGAAAAACGTACTGGAAAGCAGTGATAGCCGTCTGGTTTATATTTGACCACTTGATCAGAACTGACATTTGTTACGTACGAGGTCATGGGATGGCCGGCTACTGCAGGTCGAGGGTTGGCCGAGGGTAAGTTACATTTACAGTTTACTTAGGTTGAGTCAACCTCGTTCTCAGACTTTTTTCTCTACGCTTCTTAACTCAGGGAAGACCCTGAGAACGAGGTTGAGTAATTTAAAATTTCTTCTACTTAACTAACATCAATTCTTTGCATCATTTCATTCTTAACTACTTAAAAGAACTTCCGAAACTATATACTCCCATCACTTATTTTGAAGATTTTCATTTGCTCACCGTTTGTTTCTGAGATATTTCAGTTTGTTTGTGTCGTAGTGCCGTAGCCAGAACGATAATTGGGGGGGGGGGGAATATTCATATATTCGTGTTCACAATACATACCATAAAAACAATTGATTTCAAAAGAAATTAATAAAGCAGAACACGAATATATGAATATTTCCCCCCCCCCCCAATTATCGTTCTGGCTACGGTACTGCTGTAAAAGCTTGTATATCGTATTCACTATCGAGTTTAATTTTTGTTTAATTCATTGAAAATGAAGTTTGGAGTTGTGGGAGGATTACATA